GCGATGACGTTGTGTGTTGGGCGAAGCCCCTTAAGGGGGAGTTCCAGGGGCGGGCGTAGCGCGAGCGTTTGCGGTCTAATGGCCGTTTTGGGGGTTTTCTTTAGGGTTGTTGCATGTTTTTCGGATACTCCCTGAAGACGGCCCAAGAGCGCTCCAAGAGAGCCCAAGACCGCCCAAGACGGCCCAAGAGGCGCCCAAGAGGCCCCCAAGAGGCGCCCAAGGGGCGTCCCAAGAGGGCCCCAAGAGGCCAAACTTATTGATTTTCCTTGGGAAAACGTAATGTTTTAGCATATACGGCTTTTCGTCTTTCACGGCGTTGACGACGGCCCAAGAGGGCCCCAAGATGCGCCCAAGGGGCGTCCAAAGAGGGCCCCAAGAGGCCAAAATCATTGATTTCGGTAGGAAAACGTAGATTTTTAGCATATACGGCTTTTCGACTTTCACGGCGTTGCCGACGGCCCAAGAGGCCCCAAAGACCGCACCAAGACGGCACAAGAGGCTCCTAAGAGGCCCCCGGACGGCCCAAGAGAGCACCCAGACGGCCCAAGAGGCGCCCAAGACGGCCCCCAAAGGGGGACCACGAACCGAAAAATTTAGCCTATCGCCCCAAGACGCTCCCAGGAGGCCCCCACAGCCCCCCAAGCAGCCCCAAGAGGCCCCCAAGAGGCGTCCCACGAGGCCATCAGGAGGCCAACATCATACATGTTCTATGGGAAAACGTACATGTTTAGCATACACGGCTTTTCGGCTTCCGCGGCGTTGACGACGGCCCAAGAGGCCCCCAAGACCGCCCCAAGACGGCCCAAGAGGCTCCCAAAAGGCCCCCAAAACGGCCCAAGAGGGCGCCAAGACTACCCAAGAGGCGCCCAAGACTGCCTAAGAGGGCAGGGGGACCACGAACCCGAAAGTCTAGCCTTTCGCCCCAAGACGCTCCCAGGAGGCCCCCACAGACCCCCAAGAAGCCCCAAGAGGCCCCCAAGAGGTCCCCAAGAGGCCACCAGGAGGGCCCGAAAAGGGCCCCAATAGGACTCCCACGAAGGCCCAGGGACGCCAAGAGCGATCGGTAACGCAAAAAGCTCTTCACACCAAGGCTCCCAAGAGGGAACGGTGACGTAAACAAGCTGATAAGACCAAGGCTCCCAGCAGAGAGCGGTGACGTAACAAGTTCCTGACACCGAGGCCCAGCCAAGGCTCAGGAACGGGCGGCAACGCAACCATCTCTGAACCCCAAGGCTCCCATGAGCGAGGGGTGACGTCGAGACGCCAAGAGCGGTCGGTAACGCCAAAAGCTCTTCACACCAAGGCTCCCAAGAGCGAACGGTGACGTACACAAGCTGAAAAGACCAAGGTTCCCAGCAGAGAGCGGTGACGTAACAAGTTCCTGACTCCAAGGCCCAGCCAAGGCTCAGGAACGGGCGGCAACGCAACAATCTGTGAACACCAAGGCTCCCAAATGCGAGGGGTGACGTAACAAGCTCTCAACGCCAAGGTTCCCAGTACGAACGGTGGTGTGAGTAATTTCGGTCAAGATTCTGAATCGCTCTTTCCGTTTCCGTGCCAGCCCCAGGTGACGGAAAGAGCGAGGTACGAGGGAGTGACGTTGAGCAGGGGGCGAAGCCCTAATAGGGAGGGGTCCAGGGGAGGGGCGAGGCCTGGGCGCATTGGTCTAATGGCTTGTTTCCCTCGTATTTGTTCGAGTGAAGCGGCTCCCGGGCGGCTCCCATTGGCCGTTTTTTTGTATTTTTTCAGGTGAAGCGGCCCAAGGGCCCCAAGACGGCCCAAGAGGGCCCCAAGCCGGCCCCAGGAGAGCTTCAGATGGCCGCTGGACGGTCCAAGAGAGTCTCGAGACGGCCCCAGCGGCCCTCAAGGGGGCCCCCGAGAGGGCCCCAGGAGGCGAAACACCTGTATTTTCTTATGATTTTTGCAGGTTTTTTGGTGTTCTCCTTTTTTCCGTCCCAGACGGGCCGGGCCGCAGACGGCCCAAGAGGCCCCAAATATTGTCCCAAGACAGCCCCTGGGGGCCAAGACGGCCCAGAGGCTCCCAATCTCGTTCTAAGACGGTGCCGCCGGCGCCCCAAACGGGCCCAAAACGGTTCCAGAGGGCACCCAGACGGGCCCACGACGGCCTAAGAGGCCCTGAAGATCATCCCAAGACGGACCCCGAGGCGCCCCAAAGGGGCCCACAACGGCCCCAGATGGCCCCCAGTCGGCCCCAATACGGCCAGTAGGGCCCCGAGGGCTCTAAGAGAGCCCAAGAGGGCCCCAATAGGCTCCCCGGCGCGCCCGAGGGAGAGAGGAGGGGGCTGAAGAGGAGGAGGAGGAGGAGGAGGAGGAGGAGGAGGAGGAGGAGGAGGAAGAGGAGGAGGAGGAGGAGGAGGAGGAGGAGGAGGAGGAGGAGGAGGAGGAGGAGGAAGGAGGAGGAGGAGGGGAGGAGGAGGCGGAGGAGGAGGAGGAGGAGGAAGGAGGAGGAGGAAGGAGGAGAGGAGGAGGAGGAGGAGGAGGAGGAGGAGGAGGAGGAGGAGGACAAGTTAGGTGCGCTCGCGTCAACATCTGACATCCTACCCCTCCCTCCCATCCCTTACCATGGCGCTGATTTTCTCTATCCGCGGACGCGTGTCGTAGCGGACCTGTGGCTCCGCGCGCGTGTGCGTGGTGGGTGGTGGTGCGCGTGCGTGCGTGCGTGTGTGCGTGGTTGTGGTTGTTGTGGTGGTGGTGGTGGTGGTGGTGGTGGTGTATGTGTGTGTGTGTGCGTGTGCGTGCGTGCGTGCGTGCGTGCGTGTGTGCGCGTGTGCTGTGGTGTGACGTGGTGTGGCGTCTTGGTGGCTTGGTGGTGGGCCAGGTGCGTACGTGCGTGATGGCGGTGGTGGTGGTGGCGGTGGTGTGTGTGTGTGTGTGTGTGTGTGTGTGTGTGTGTGTGTGTGTGTGTGTGTGTGTGTGTGTGTGTGTGTGTGTGTGTGTGTGTGTGTGTGTGTGTGTGTGTGTGTGTGTGTGTGTGTGTGCGGTGGCGTGCGTGCGTGCGTGCGTGCGTGCGTGCGTGCGTGCGTGCGTGCGTGCGTGTGCGTGCGTGTGTGTGTGTGTGTGCGCGCGTGTGATGTGGTGTGGCGCGGTGTAGCGTGGTGGTGGTGGGTGGGGTAGTGCGGTGGTGGTGGCGGTGCGCGTGGTGGTGCGCGTGCGTGCGTGCGTGCGTTGGTGGGTGGAAGTGGCGGTGGGTGTGCGTGCGGCGGGGCGGGGCGTGGTGCGGCGCGGTGGTGGCGGGCGGATGGGCGCGCGAGAAAGAGGCCCGCGCTGGGGCGAGAACGCCATCCTGAACGACGGAGGCAAAACACCGATCCGAAAATGAAGCCCACGCTGCAGCGGGAGCACGATTCGGAACGATTCGGGAGCAGAAATGAGGCCGGCGCCTCAGCGAGAGCAGCATTTTAAAAAAGCAGGCGAAAACCCAACTCCCGGGAATCCTGTGTGTGTGTGTGTGTGTGTGTGTGTAAAAACAGTGCGCGGGGGGGTCGAATATTCCCAGCACGCCATCAGGGGAAGAGGGAGAGTAGTATTCATATTGAGTAATTGTGGAGGAGGAGGAGGAGGAGGAGGAGGAGGAGGAGGAGGGAGGGAGGAGGAGGAGGAGGAGGAGGAGGAGGGGAGGAAGAGGAGGAGGAGGAGGAGGGAAAGGAGGAGGAAATGGAGATGGAGATGGAGATGGAGATGGGGATGGAGATGGAGATGGAGATGGAGGAGGAGGAGGAGGAGGAAGAGGAGGAGGAGGAGGATGAGGAGGAGGAGGAGGAGGAGAAGGAGGAGGAGGCGGAGGATGAGGCGGAGGAGGGAGGATGAGGAGGAGGAGGAGGAGGAGGAGGAGGAGGAGGAGGAGGAGGAGTAATAATAATAATCATAATATTAATATTAATAATAACAGTTATAATGATACTATTAATAACAAGAATAAACATACTAATACTATTAAGAATAATAACAATACTAGTAATAAGACAACTAAGAATAATAAGAAGCATACTAATACTACTACTAATAATACTACGAATAGTATTAAGAATACTACTACTACTACTACTACTAGTACTAAGCATACTAATACTAATACGACGAATAAGAATAATACTAATCATAAGCATAATACGAGGAATAATACGAATCATAATAATGATACTACTAATGCGAATACTACTAATAATAAGAATACGAATGAGAAAATTAATAGTCATACTCAGAATAAGAAGAATACGATAAGGAGGAGGAGGAGGAGAAAGAGGGGGAGGAGGAGGAGGAGGCGGAGGCGGAGGCGGAGGCGGAGGAGGAGGAGGAGGAGGAGGAGGAGGAGGAGGAGGAGGAGGAGGTCTTGACACCAAGGCCCAGCTAAGGCTCAGGAACGGGCGGCAACGTAACAATCTCTGAACACCAGGGCTCCCAACGGAGACGGCGACGCAACCTTAGGGGTCTCTTTGGGCCCTCTTGGGGGCCTCTTGGGGCCTCCTGGGGGCTCCTTGGGCTTCTTGGGCCCCTCTTGTGGCCTTCTTGAGGCCATCTTGAGCTGTCGTGAGGTACTCTTGGGCCGTCTTGGGGCCCTGTTGGGCCGTCTTGGGGCTCTCTTGGGGCTCTCTTGGGGGCCGTCTTGGAGCGGTCTTGGGGGTCAATTTGGCCCCCCTTCGGAGGCCTCTCGGAGGCCTCTTGGGGCGTCTTGGTGGCCTCTTGGGCCGGCTTGAGTTCATCTGAGGCGTTTTGGGCCGATCTTGGTGGCCTCTTGAGGCCTCTTGGTCCCCGTCTCGTCTCCCCGCGTGACTCTCGGGGCCCTCCTGGGCCGAAACAGATCACGCGCCACCACTTCCGAAAGCCCACGGGGCACGCGCCAAGACCCAAGAGATTTCGGAATGTGGGGTCCAGGCGCCTGAGGCACTCCTCAGGACTGAGGACTGAGGCTCGGGGGATCGGGCAAATGACCTGAGGACACGCCCACTCCGTGCCCAGCGGCACGGCGGCGGATGTTTGAGATCAGCAAGTATCCTGACGAGCGCGAGTTGGTCCTCCCGCCATTCTCCGTACTCGAGGTGTCCAGTGTGGATGATTATCGCCCATCGCAGCCCCTAGTTATTGAGTGCACGTTTCAGGGCTGTCAGATGTCTGCCGAGTTCCGCAAGGAGTGCATCTGCGATCTCGCCGAGGCTTCCAGGCAGCTCGATGATGAGCAACAGAAGGAGCAGCGGCGGCGGGCTGAGCTCGAGTCGCATGCCGCGGAGCTCGATACGAGGAAGCACAATGAGGAGGCGCAGGCTCGAGAGGAGCTCGAGGCGCGGCTCTCGGATATCTACGCCGAGGAAGCCACCCAGGCCCAGAACGAGCTCGGCGAGAGCCGCGCGCGGCTGCGGAGGTCGGAGGTGGAGGTGAGCTGCCAGGCCCGCGAGCTCGAGTCCTTGCGCCGCAAATCGCAGGCGAGCCCACGGCATGCCAGCTCCCGACACGCCAGCGCGGTACGCGCGCGCGTCGGCGCAGTCGGCTCGAGCGGCTCGCGGGAGGTGGTCCCAGCAGTGAGGCTGTTTTGGGTGTTTCAGAAGGTATGCTCCGCATTCCTTACCAAGCGTGGGAGGTGTTATCCCCGCCTTGATCGGCGCACTGCGGCGGGGTTCGGAGCGCCTTGGGCGCGAGATGTGTGTCCGCGACAGGGCCTATTTGGGGTTGTCGACGGGGGTGGCGCTTTCCTGGCGAATATTGGGCATTCCAGCAGGGCCTCGCCCTGGAGTGATCAGAGGGTTGTCCTCTGTTGCTCGTCCCGAGCTGGCGGACGCACAGGGGGGGCGGCCTCGCTAGCGGTAGCCGGCGGAAACAATAGGCGCGCCCACAAGAGACGTCAACATTCTTGGCGTTCTGGTTTCTGGAGCGGACTGTACCTTTCAAGCCACTTGGGGGCTGCCCTCTGGCTGTAGGGCAAGGCTGCTCCTCTGGCTCCAGATGCTGGGTGGATATAGAGTCCAACCCGTTCGGCGGTCCACGCGGCTTTCTTGGGTCGGCGCCAGAGCCCCCTCCCCAAACCCATGGCGGGAGGGCCCCGCGTCGACCCGAGGACTCGGCGCGGACCTCCAACAGTTCAAGCTAATGCGTGTGACTCTGATCTCAGAGGCTGCTCTTGGCCGGCGTGCAGCTGGAGAAGCTGTGCTCGAAGACCGGCAAGTGGCAGCCCCGCTGGGCTCAGCTGAGCGCGGGCGCTGCCCCCCGACTGCTGTGGTCGAAGGACACCAAGGGGTGTTCTCTCGGGCGTGGCGCGCGAAGCGTGCAGCTCAAGCACGTGCTGCACGTTGACGTGGGCGGCGAGAGGCTGCCCGAGGAGCTTCAGCCGTTCAGCCGGCCCTGGGACGTCTTCTCCGTCTGGACGGTGCACCGGCCCTTCTTCTTCAGGTCCGCGGACGACAGCACCGCGGAGGCGTGCGTGGTGTGCCTGTCGCACCTCTCGCCGCACGCGAGGTCCGTCCCCTGCCGCGAGCTGCGGCTGCACCGCGCCCGCTGCAAGCTGGGGCGGACCCCCCGGGCCCGCGCCCGGACGCTGCTGCAGGCGGCGCGGAGGTCGTCCCGGCAGAGCGTGCGGCTGGACACTCCGCTCGCTGCGGCCGGCCCCAGCGCGGCGGGCGGCCGCCCCGTGGAGCGCCCCGCTTCGGCAGGGGCGCAGGGGGAGGCGGCCTCCGGCTCGTCCGAGTCGGGCTCTGAGACCGCCTCGCCCGCCTCCCCGTCTCGCCCGCGCCCGCTCCTCCCCGGCAAGGCGTCGGAAAAGCCCACAGGCGTGGGCGAGCGCGGAAGAGTGGCCGGAGGCCAGGGTCCCTGCACCACCGCCAGTCCCGGCCAGGGAGGAGCAGGAGGGGGAAGGGGGGAGGGGGAAGAGGAGGATGAGGGATGGGGCGTCAGAGTTGGAGGAGGAGGATGAGGGAAGGGGAGGGGGAGGGGGAGGGGGAGGGAGGAGGGAGGAGGGAGGAGGCACTGGCACGACCTGGAAGTTAGATGCCTGTTTGTCGTCGAGCGAGCTATCGCGATCGCAGTCGTACCGCAGGCCGGGGCCACCCGCGGCGACCCGCGGGTGGAGCACGGCGTGCTGCGCGGGACCGCGCCCTGCGGGATTCGAACCTGCATGCCAGCGACAACTCGACGAGCGAGAGCGGACTCGACGAGCGAGAGCGGAAGAGGAATCCGAGAATTTGCCAGAGGGTGGAGGGAGGAAGGAGTCTTTTTCTCCGCGTGTCCGTGCTCACCGTCACTCACAGGGTTCTCGAGCTCCGTGAGGGGGTGAGATCGTGGTGGAACGGAGAGCCCCCCAACGGGAAATCGGTTTCGGTTTCGTGTTCGTGCCGTGCGTGCGGGCGAGGCGAAGATGCGTGGCCGCGCGAGAGGAAGGATGCCGCCGTGGCTAGGGGCTTGAGCCGATTGTCTGCCTTCCTCCCCCCTCTGGCGCGCGGTGGCCAGGGGTGTCCCGTCGGTGGCGGGGCGGTGTCCCGTCGGTGGTGCGGGGTGTCCCGTCAGTGGCGCGGGGTGTCTCGTTTGTGGCGCGGCGGTGAGAACGATCGTGAGATTGATAGTGAGATTTGTTGTGTGATCGATAGTGAGATCTGTTGTGAGATCGATCGTGAGATCTGTTGTGAGATCGATTGTGAGATCGATCGTGAGACCAGTAGTGAGAAGTGTTATGAGATCGATAGTGAGTCCGAATGTAAGGTCGATAGTGAGATCGATTGTCAGATCGATGGTGAGATCGATTGGGAGATCGATGGTGAGATCTGTTGTGTCCTCGATCGTGAGATCGCTTGTGAGATCGATTGTGAGTTCGGTTATCACATCGATAGTGAGATCGGTTGTAAGATCGATAGTGATATCTGTTGTGAGACCGATCGTGAGATCGATGATGACATCGATTGTGAGATCGACAGTGAGATCAGTTGTGATATCGATCGTCAGAACTGTTGTGATATCGATCATGATATCGGTTGTGATATTGATCAAGAGATCGCTCGTGAGATCTATAGTGTGATCCACAGTGAGATCGATACTGACATTGTTTCTGAGATCGAATGCGAGATCGATGGTGATACCGATAGCGAGATCGATGTTGATATTGATTTTGACATTGATTGGCATGGCGATCGTGAGAACTGTTGTGAGATCGGTCGTGATATCGCTCGTGAGATCGATCGTGAGTTCGGTTGCCACATCGATGGTGATGAGATCGATCGTGAGATCAGTTGTGAGGTCGATCGAGATATTCATCGTGATATCGATCATGAAATCGGTTGTGAGATCGAGAGTTTGATCGACGTGAAAACGATTTTATGAGACGTTGGTTCCCCCTTCCCCCCCGAACCTGCATGTCACCGGAAGGGTGGTCGTATAGGTCCACGGATGCTTCAGAAGCCCCCCAGGGGGGGCCCCATGGAGTCTCAGGAACCCCACGGAGCCGCAGGACCCCCAGGACCCATTAGGCTGCGCGCTAAGGACGCGTTACGGCGCGATTTCCCCCCTCTCTTCGGAGAGTCCGCGCTAAGGGAGCTGTAGCTGCAGCTGTAGCCCCAGGAGGCGCCAGCGAGCCCCAGGCCCCAAGGAGTCCCAGGGATCCGCAGGAGGCTCCCTGGAATCCCAGGGAGTCCCAGGAACTTCCGAGAAGACCCAGGGAACCCCAGGGAGCCCCAGGCGGCCTCAGAAAGCCCCCCGTGAACACCAAGAGCTGCTTCTGAGTCCCAGGGAGCCCCACGGAATCACAGAAGGCTCCCAGAAGCCCCAGAGGCCCCAGGAGGCCCCAGCGAACCCCCGGGAGCTCCAGGAAGCCCCATGAAACCTGGAGCCTCAGACACCCCCAGGAAAGCATAGGAAACCTTAGCAAAGCCACAGAAAACTTGAATCTTCAAAGATCCCCGGGATGCCCTAGGACCCCCCAGGGAGTATCAGGGAACTACAGGAGGCTCCGGGAACCCCCAGGAAGCTCCAGAAAACCTCACTGAGAGCCAGGAAGCGCCAGGAGGCATCAGGGAGCACCAGGGAGCTTCAGGAAACTCCCATACGCTCTCGAGAGCCCCAGGGAGTCCCAGGGAGCCCCTGGAAGCCCCAGGATCCTCCCAGGGGCCCTGGTGAGCCCCAGCAAGTGGACGCTCCACGGAGCCCCAGGGAGCTTCAGGGAGACTCTTGGGTTTGCATTGGTCCTTCTCCTCCTCCTCATCCTACTCCTCCTCCTCCCCCTTCCCCCTCCCCTCTCCGTCGATCCTCTATCCTCCTCCTTTTAGACCTCCGATGAGTGTAGATGTGTGCGGGTCGCTTCGCGGCGGCGGCCCCAATGCAGGCGTTCCACGTGCAACGCTGTCGGTGGCCCAGGATCGGCCGATGCCGAATCTGCGCCTTCCGAGAGCCAGCGCCCGCGCGTTACCGCGACGTGGAACCCGCTGCTGGCCTTGTTTCGGCGGCGCGCCCCAGGGGGAAGTTTCAAGGAGCAGGCTTTGTTAGAAGGCTCGGAATCAAAGGAAGAAAAGGTGCCGCTACCGCTACCATTCTCTCGTTTCCCCCTTGTTGGGCCTCCCCTGCGGCCCTCGTCGCCACGACTGGGGTTTGCCACGAAATCCTGGTCAGAACGCAATCTGGGAGAGGCCCGGGGAGTAGCAGCATCAACACCCTGGGGTGCGCTCATTTTTCAGGCAGAAGATCTCTCAGACGGCGCGAGGGCTTCTGGTATGCCCCGCCGTGTTTGAGCAGGCCTGCCCCCTCTCTCACCTCTCCCCCCTGGCGCGCCGCTTGTCTTTTGCCGTGTTGGTCCAGGCCATCCCCGCCGTGAGCCCGGCCATCGGGGCACACGGGGCGCGCCCGCCGGGCATGGCGTCCCTGCTGGCGCGCGCTCTCGGCGCCCGCGGCGCGGCCTCGCAGGGCAGCGCTGGCGCCTTTGGCTCGCCACAGACGCTGCCAGCCTTCGGGATCGACACCGAGGACGCTGACACAAACCACCGTCGATTCCAGGTAAAGCATTAGAACATCCGGCCAGTGAAAGGGAAGGCGAAACTCCAGAGATATTGTAGAAATACGGGGGATTCTGGGATTTGTGGTGATTTATTTGTGTGTCCCTGGGCCCCGAGGCAGATTTCTGCGCCTTGGCCTTGGACAAAGACCTGGCGGCTCGAAGAAATCGCGCTCCCTGTTTTTTGCTGTTTGTGTGGGTCCTGGGGTGGTTCGCTGCCCCCGGACTTTGGAAACCCGACTCGGAATGAGAACGTGTCCTTGGGAATGGGTGGAGAGCTCTGGTGGCCACGGGTAAGATCACGGCGTCGGATCCGAGGTCTGAGTATACAACACCAGCCCTCCGCAGGCCCGTTCTGGGGCACACTATGTTGTCGTGGTGCTCTGGCATGACAGATCCAATGTTCACCAAGGTTTGTGCTGAAACTTGGCCTGTGGACGTCCAGCGGTGGTGCAGACTTCCCTCTCCCAAGGATGCGAGGTTCTGGCAGACGCCTGGCGCGCCGACGCACACTTGCCATGCAGGGGACGGCGGGATCAGCAAGGGCTTGCTCCTGGCTGGGAACCCAGAGGTCGTGCACCGCTGTAGCAGCAAGGGAGTCCCCGATCCAGGCGCCATGAGCAAGAGGGCGGAGGCCCTGAAGAGGGCGGAGATGCTGGCCCGCTTCGACCACAGCTACGGCAGTCGCAGGCGATGAGCATCTGCAGCGCTTCTGGTTCTGCTGGACACGCGGAGATTCTGATTTTCGTAATGCTTATTTTGTTGCATTGTTCCTAGGGTTCTGCCTGCACGCGCCCACCACTCCAGTTCGAGGGTGTCCAGTTTTGTTTTAGCAAACGGCGCCATGCTGTCGATATCCACAGGACTTGCGCAGTCTTGTGAGCACCATGGCATGGCAACCTCAAAAGCAAGGCCATGCGATCTGTTCTCGCTGTATATCTATATCCCTCGTTCTCTCTCTCTTGCTCTCTGTCGGCCTCCATCTGGACGGGCTGCGTGGAGCGCAGCCATGTGCCGCAATATTGCTGCCGCTCTCTTTCAAGAGCGAAGGTTTAATATGCTGGTATGTTGCTCGCAGTTTAAAGGTGCTGGTCGGTGGGCGTACTCCATATGCGGACCGAGGCGACGTCAATCCAGGACAGGGATGTTACGAGAGGATGTTGGGACAGTGCGACCAGCATCGCTAGGGCAAGATTGCGTCTGGCAGCGAGCAGCACCGGTTCCATTTTGAAAGTAAGCAGCTCGCACACATGGATGGCGGAGGCAGTCTCAGTTCCTCGAGTGTTCATGCAGGACTTGTGCTTCCACTGTACTTGCACCACGCGTGCCTCCACCGTCCACAGCTGCAGAGTTTTACATGCCAGGGTGCTTTGGGTAGAGCGTGGAGCTTCTTGGATGCGCGACGCTGGTTCTGTATATGGTTTGAGTGTTTCAATGCTGCCTGGCAGGGTGGTTTGGCCAGATCTAGCAATCTGCGCTGGCCAATGGGAGGGGAAGGTCAGGGGAGGCAGGAGATGTAAGGTGGGATGGCGAGGTTGCGCGCTCTTGTAGCCATGAGTTGCGCGCGCCTGGGATGCTCGGCAGTCTCACCGCCACGGCACCCGTGCAAGCTGCCCAATGGCCTGCCTGGCGCACCCCTCGCGAACGAGACGATGGCGATCTCCTGATCGTACTTTTTCTCTTCGCCACGGGCATCGCTGGTGGGTCGCATAACCACAACATCGGCTGCATGTAGGAGTGACCCTGCGCCAGAATGACCTTGGAACGCGGCTTTCGGCAGGCGCGGGACGGCCAAACCCAGGCACGCAGGCCGCTCCTGTCGCCTCACGTGTAACGACCGGCAAGCTGGCAAGCCGTGCACAGCAAAGGTCACTCTTGCCTACGGTCACTCCTTGCGTGTAGCCGGCAATTGCAGCGCTTGGCGGCCGATCAGTCATGAGCGGCGCTGCCCTCTCCCTGCCGCAGGGAGGCGGCCTTGGCTCCCGACAGCACCTGGAGACGTATGGCGGTCGGCCTCGATCCACGAGGGATGACCCAGGCACATGAGCTGCTTCATGTACGATGTGTTGCAACCGCTCGTTGCCAACCGCTGCAAGGTTGCCAGGACAGACGAGGAGAGTCAGGGAAGACCGCAACGGGGACGGAAAGAACGGGGACGAATAATGACAGCAGCTCCTACACCTGCTTCGAACATGAATCGCTGTCTGAGTCACTGCGGACGTTGTCCGTTTGCGACGAACGTCGCCTGACCAACAGCAGCCCCTGTCTGTTTTTGGCAACGCTTGGTCTTCGACTCTTCGACATCGTTCCCACTTTGTCCGTTCCAATTCTGAGCGTGCCAAGAGGGGGAGGAGGGAGGAAGAGGTAGACCAGCCGCAAACGAGGGAGCTGTGATGCTTAACCCCCTTGAAGGCGCCCATCCGCTGTGACTTCTCTTTCGAGAGATCATCGACGTGGTTCATGCCCCCAGGGGGGGTTAAGGAACGAAGCTTCCCCAGTTGTGGCGGGCTGAGGAGGGGGGTATCCAAGCGTGGGTGCTTTGGTGGGTCTTCCAGAGGGTGCCCTCGTCGCCGTGGATGGGTTATCCTCGAAGTCGTCATCAGAACGCGGTCCAGGGGGGGTCGGAGGGCCCATTGTGAACGAAGGGGAGGAGGAGGGAGGTTCAGAGCAGAAGAGCTAATGACGGAGGATGAGGACGAGGAGGACGACGGGGGAGGAGAAGAGGGAGAGAGGAGGCGCGGAAGGAGGAGGTTGAGGACTAGAGTAACCCCCAGATACGATGTTGAAATGCACCCTCCCGTCCTGGGTCCCCTCCTCACTAGCCCCTGTTGGCTTTCCATTTCACCGCGGGAGGCGCCCCCCTTGAAAGACAAGCGCCGCTATTCAGGCAGGAGCTCCGTTTGGAAGGGACCCGCCTTCTCCATCATTCGAGCTGGCAGGAGTGCGACAAGGTGGGGTCTGAAAATTCGAGGAACTGCCCAGCGACGGCCCCGCTTTGAGAAGAAACGACCCGGCATTCCTGCAGCTGTTGCACTTCTCGTGAACCTGTCGCGGCCCCAAATACAGAAGCGCCCTTCCAAAGCAAGTAACTCATCAAGGCAGGCACTGTTTTGCATTGCTTTGCATTGCTTTGCATTGCTTGGCTTTGCTTTGCATTGCTTTGCATTGCCTGGCGTTGCTTGGCATTGCTTTGCACTGCTTGGCGTTGCTTTTCGGCGCCTGGTATTGCTTTGCTTCGCTGGGCATTTGTTGGCTTTGCTTGGCATTTCTTTTGCATTGCGTTGCTTTGTATGGTTTGGCAATGGCTGGCATTGCCTGGCATGGCTTGGCATTGCTTGGCATTGCTGGGCATTGCGTTGCATTGCCTTGCATTGCACGGGATTGCTTGGCATTGCTTGGCATTGCTTAGCAGTGCTTGGCATTGTCTGGCATTGCCTTGCGTCGGTTGGCATTTCTTTGCGTTGCTTGGCACTACTTGCTTGGAATTGCATGGCAACCGGGGGAGCGCCCTCTCAAGCACAGAAAGAGAACACGTCCAAAGATCCTGGGGGAGAACCTGGTCAGACCAATGAAACCGAGGAATCTGGGCAAGGCCGGCCGGGCATTGACCGCGCACCACCCAGTCATTCAGCAATCAGTAAGAACCCCTCGGAAAGTCAATGCACCCCTTCCGCACCACCAATCTTTCGCCCTGCCTGCTGTCTCTCCTTGCGCGTACTGCCTGTCGTACTGACTGACTACTTTTGCTTCCGCAAATATATTATTTTGGCTCTAGGGGAACGGAAAAAGGAGCGAGCTTGCGGCGCGCGCGCGTGCGTCGGCTGGCGGGCCGGCCTCCTCCCTTCAGTGTTACCTTAGTGTATGCTTGACGGCATTAGCCTGTCTTCCCCATGTCATCTGCGGAGCCCACTGGCCATGACATATTATCGGAACATCTAGCAGGGATGATGAACATCCAGGCAAAAGACTTGATATCATCCGAAACGACGGCGCAGCCGTTAGCTTCGCAGAGCATGGGATCGCAAGAGGGAGCGCTCGGACGAACAGAAGACCGATGCCCTTCCGAGCGTAGCAAGAGTATAGGCGCCTCAACGGGGCGACCAAATCCTCTCAACCTTCCCAGAAAGAAGCGTCAGTGACTGCGTTTGACTTGACAGACGGGGATTCATCGGTTGATTCGGTGACAAGATCCCCAGAGGTAGTCCTTAGACGGAAGGTATGGCGCAGCCAAAACTTCCGCCGAGGGACCATCTGAGTTGGTATCGGTACACCTTGGCTTTCAGCCATCGATCGACATAGATCTTGCGATGGAAAAGTTGTTGGATCACATCCCCATCGAAATGTCGGGCGCCGAAAGCCTAGGCGCAGGACATGGAGTGCAGTGCGCGTTGCGCGGACAGAGTGAGGATATGAGCGATTTGCTATCAATAGGGGATAGCTCTCATTCGATAGAAGAGAACGAAGATTATGCCCGATTCCGCACCTCGCCGGGCCCATCGCATCATCCCGATCCTCTCCCCGACCAGGCCGTCGGGCTCGCCTCATTGACCATGTGACGGTTGAGGCCAGTCAGAAGGCCGTTCTTGATTCCGACGATGATCTCGAAGACTGAGGAAACCCAGACCAAGGTGGATGCTCGTCGGCACAGCCGATGTCGAGCAGCTCCGACGCAATGCGTGCAGTGAGGAATACGCGAGCAGCTACAGGCATGATTCCCCATCCATTGACGAAGAAACCGAAGGGTGAGAACGATGACTTGAACACGTCGCCCTTACTGCACGGCTTCTACAGAGCAGACTTCTCGCTGCCCAGGACTATCAGGGACAGATACCAGAACTTGATGAGCTCGCAATGCAGGACGACAGAGACGATTTAGCACAGAATATGGACGTTGACATCATGAAGAGAAGTGTAAGAACAAGAACAACACACGCGTACCCCCCAGCAGTGAAAGGGGGCGTTCCAGTAATGCCCCCAGGGCCGGACGTTCCAGTTCCAGAGGGTTTAATGCCTTTGAATCGCCGCGGATGTCATCGAACAGAACCACCAGCAGCTTCTCCATGCGGGGGGGCTGCTGGAACGCCGGGCCAACGTGCCCCACTCGGGCGGAGAATCGGTGCCGGGGGGAAGCGCGCGTACCGATGGGTTCATGTAGAAGGCCAGTGTGTTCCCAATGTTCGAATGTTTGCCCCAAATGTAGTCTGGCATGGCTTTGCGAGGAGTGCGTCGCGATGGAAGAGCACAGTTGCCATCGTATCGCGATTCAAGAGTGGGCGGGAAGGAATGGGCAGGATCGGGGGCAGCTGAGGGCTGCGAGCGCACATGTGCAACAGATTCTACAGGCTTGCGCCGCGTCCGCCGACCCCTTCTGCGAGTGTTGCGAGGCCAGGTTTCTGGCCAGCGGCGTCTTGTGCCAGGGTGCCGTGTCGCGCGCGGGTGGTGGCAGATACGTGGGGGGTCCAAATGTTTGCGTGATGCCGGTGGTCTGGGGCGTGTTTTGCGAGCGCCTTGCGTGCTGTGCGCCCGGGTGCGGGGTGTCCTTCTGGGAGGTCGGCCTTTCGACCCGCGACCAAGTGGAGGACCGCCGGAATACGAAAGGAGCAAGAGTTGTGTGCGGAAGCTGTGATCAGCGAGGCATCGCCACGACAGATGTGGCAGGTGAGTCGAAGCGGGTGAAGGGGCTGTTGGCGTTCGCAGCGCGCGCGAAGCAGTTCGCGCGGCAGCAGCGCATTAGCGTCGAGCAAGATACCGAGCACGTCGCGAGGAAGAGTGAGGCTGTATGCGCGGAGTGAATTGCAGTTGGCTTGACGGCTCGCAGTGCGGAAGCGTCTGGGGGTCTTTGGGGGGCCTCCTTGGGGCCTCTGGGGGCTCCTTGGGGCGGCTCGGCGGCCTCTTGGGGGCCTCTGGCGGCCTCTTGGGGCACTCTTGGGCCCCCTTGGGGCTCGTGGGGGGCAGAAAGCTAGATTTTTGAATGTTTGATTGCCTTCTTGGGCCCCTCTTGGTGCCGTCTTGGAGCCTCTTTGGGCCGTCTTGGGGACCTTGGGCCGTCTTGGGGCCATCCTGGGCCGTCGTGGGGCCGTCTTGGGGGCGCCTTGGGCCGTCTTGGGGCGGTCTTCGGGGCTTCTTGGGCCGTCTTGGAGCGTCGGAAAGCCCGCGAGGCGAACTCGTGAAAATATACGTTTTACGAAGGAAATGAGACAACTTATGCGCCTGGGGACCCTCTTGGGGCGCATCTTGGAGGCCTCTTGGGGGCGTCTTGGACACTCTGGAGGCCATCTCGGGTGGTCGATCGCCCTTGGACCGTGTGGGGCCATATTGAGCTCTCTTGTGGGCGCTTGGGGCGCTCCTGGAGCGCTCTTGGGGCCGTCTTCGGGGCTCTCTTGGGCTGTCTTCGGCGCCTCTTGAGCCGTCTTGGCGCCCTCTTGGGCTGTCTTGGGGCCTTTTGGAGGCTTCTTGGACCGTCTTGGGGCGGTCTTGGGGGCCTCTTGGGCCGT